AAAAAAAAAAAAAAAAAAAAAAAAAAAAGAAACCCCAAATTGTGTCCCAAGGAAAATTAAGGGTCTATGTCCACGTTCTTTGAATTTGAGTGAGCTTGTGACTGTTTCGTCCAATGAACTATATTCTGACCTCAAAGGCTAAGTCCTTTAAACAGGCAGCTTACTCCTCATTCTCTTGGAACACTTATCTCCAACTAGCTCTCTCTTGGAAGTGAGCAGCCATGTTGTGCAAAGATCAAGCCACATAGAAAGGTCATTAATAAGTGACCTAGAAGATAATACCTGTCCCAGTGCCGATGTATAAATGGAGAAACCTCCAAATGCTTTCAGCCTTAAGCCATTTGAGTCACTCTGAGATAAAACTCTAAGTAACATGGAGTAGAAAAGCCATCCCTCCTGTGCCTGATCCCAATTCCTGACCCAACAGAATCCATGTGTATAAAGAAATAGTTGTTCTTTTACACTACATAGCTTGGGTGGTTTGTTGTTCAGCAGTAGATAACTGGAACAAAAAAAGTCAACTTTACCAAAATTGCACTATGGATTCAATAAATCCCAATTAAATCTCATGATAAATGGCAAATCTGACTCTAAAATATATATGGAATTACAAGGAGCCTGAATAGTCAAAACAGTACTGTAAAAGAACAGAGTTGGAGGGCACACACTTCTCCATTTCAAAAGTTACTATAAAGTTACAGTAATCAAAACAGTGTGGTACTGGGGTAAGGCATATAGATTGATGGAATGGAAATGAGAGTACAACCTCTATGGTCAGTTGATTTTCAACAAGGGTACTAAGGCCATTCAAGGGGAAAGAATAGTTTTTCCAGCAAATTATACAGGCTGCCTGATCTTTAGAAGGGCCTGTTTACAAGGTTTGCCCTCGGCTGACATCTAGAAACCTGGCTTCTGAAACCATACCTGAGTGATAAGATGTGCTTGCTGTGCTAGCCTGACTAGAACTTGTTAAATAAACAATGTGATTTATGGTGAACACCTGCTTTCCTTCCAGGAGACTAGAATTTTGGAGAACAAAGGGTACTTACGTGATTAGCCCCTAATAAAAACCCTGGGCTTTGAGTTTCACACTGGCTTCCTTGGGCAGAAACACTATGCCCATGCTACTACTAGAGGAAGCCTTTACTCTTGTGGCCTCTTCAGGGAAAGCACAGGGAGCCTGCACGTGATTCCTCCAGACTGCCTGGTCAGTCTTTCCCCCTTACTGCCCCCACTGTGTATACTTGCCAGGTGGCTGTAATAAATCTTAACTGTGATGATGACAATATGCTGAGTCCCGTGCATTCTTCTATGGACATACTGAAAGTGTGGACCATGGGACTGCAAAAACAAGTGTACCAACAGTGTTAACACAAGTGGTGTTACAACTGTTCCCACAATATGTATTTTTATACTGAAATATTTAATATACAATTCATAGGGATCTTATGCACTCAAGAGATCTTAACAGTTTTTTTTTTTGAGATGGAGTTTCGCTCTTATTACCCAGGCTGGAGTGCAATGGCACGATCTCGGCTCACCGCAACCTCCACCTCCTGGGTTCAGGCAATTCTCCTGCCTCAGCCTCCTGAGTAGCTGGGATTACAGGCACGCGCCACCATGCCCAGCTAATTTTTTGTATTTTTAGTAGAGACGGGGTTTCACCATGTTGACCAGGATGGTCTCGATCTCTTAACCTCGTGATCCACCCGCCTCGGCCTCCCAAAGTGCTGGGATTACAGGCTTGAGCCACCGCACCCGGCCCAGTTTTTCCTTCTAAGTAAATTATAAGAGAAAAGCATAGTTTAGACCTTCAGCATGTACCAGTTTAATAAAAGCAACCTCTTCATGAGAGGAGAAAGGCACATCTCTTCTTGATGACAGTAGGACCTAAGAAGGTGCTAACCAAGTTTTTAGAGAAATGTCTCTTAGTATGCAAAATGCCCCCCAATACTAATACTTTCAGGTGAATTTTCTCTCTTCCTATTAGTTCAGTTCATTTACAATTTAAAACCATATTCTTTTATATACATACATATATATATATATACATATATATATATATATATATATATATAAAACAGGATAATGGGAGCAGAAATGTAAATGTAATAAAATACAAATGAGTGATATAACATCTATTAGGCTGTTACCAGGACACTATCAGCTGTCTACAAATTTTCAGTTATCACTACTACGGACAAAAACTCCTAAGGAAAACATATTAATCACACAGTTTACGAAGAGCTTACAGACACATTACTCAGTTCAAAAAGAGAGAGAGAAAAGAGTAGAAATGACTAGTTATTTACACACAGGAACTTTATAAGTGAAATTAGATGAGTCTCTACCTGCTGCCCTATTTGTGCAACACAACCATCAGAATGATAAAAGAGCAGCATTATAAGATATAAGATTTTTCATAATCTGCATTATATTTTACAGCTATTAAGTCTCTGCTTTAAAGAAAAAAAAGTGTGAAAGTCCTACTTTACAGCTGAAGTGATAAATTTTTTTAAAATCAGATTTTTGTTTTATTTATTAACAATCACTTAAAAGATTGCAACAAACAAAGATAAACAGTATTTCAACAATCTGAATACAATGAAGCTCTGTTTTCATGGCCATGTCTAAAGCATTGATCACATTTTTCATAGCTAGTCCTAAGATCAGAGTAACAGGACTGATGATTCTACTGCAGAACTCAAATTCTAAAGCATAAGCAACTGGACTGGGCTTTTGTGCAGTTCAAACTACCAATAAACAGGCATGATATAGTTTCATAATCAAGAACCTCTTTTAATTTGGGAGGGAAATTAATTTCCTTAATCACTCCATTTAAAAAAATACAGCACTGTGGGAGAGCAGGATCCTGACAAATGTCAATGACTAAATCATCAAAGATAGATCACTGTGATAAATAAGAAAAATATAAAACTGCAATGTATTTTTATCATTTAATAAAGTAACTTTTGAACATTAACTCTTAAGAGTTGCCCTTGATATGTAGTTCATTTATAAAGTAATTTTTAATTTTTCCGAGCAGAGTTTAAGAGGGGTAAAACAGGGAGATAATGCAAAAATGAATAATTAAATATGGTTGGCAGAGGCATATATGTAAAGCTTGTACTTCAGGAATCATGCTTTTGACATAGTTGGAGGATGGTGGTGAGGCTGCCCTTACAACCCGTATCAACTGATGTGGATAACTGCTGTATATGGCAGTTACAAGTGTTCAGAATCCAATTTGAACATGGTTTTCAACTATGCAACTTCTAGAGGTGGGATCCTAAATCCCCAAAAGACTACCAATTTCTCTCACTCCAAGGAAGTCCTTAAGCTAATGCTTAATCTATGAAAAGGCCCTGGCTTTTAATCTACAGTTTTAAAAAGTCACTGATGTTCTCCCTGTTAGAATTAAGCAACAATAATATGCCCAAAATGGTGATGTGACTGATCATGATGCCACTATGGAACTCAAGGTTTTTAGTTAATTATGAGAGCTTCTGCCTACTCGTTGAGTCTAGTACAATCCAGATGTAAGCAAAGGCAAACGAGTTAGACAAGTTTCAAAAACTTTAATAAAGAAAAAAAGACACTTCCAAAAATAAATGCCACACAAATGAAAGTTGTTTTCTTTTTTTAAGGGAAGATACTCAAGAAACAAAACCCTTTACTATCAAAATATACTAAATACTTAAATCTAATGATGTTGAGTGTTCAATTTCAGGGCAAATGTAGCTTATAGTAATATAGTTAGGTAGAATTTTTCATGAGATGGCTGTTTTAAGACATCACTTTATAGAGTTACTTTTTAAGCCTATATTTTCTTAAATTTCCATTTCACAATTCATTTATTTTACATTCATTTATAAAAACACATATTTTCTAACAATAGGTTATTTTGTGCTTTAATAATAATGAACCATGACAAAATACTCAAGTGATTTAAATGTTTTGCTAATGACTACACCCATCATAGACTCTTACACACTTCTACAGCTACTGCAATAATCAGAAGGGCTACAACTGTTCTTAAAAATGACACTCGCTCAAGGTTGATAAGCATGCTAAACATTAAAGAGATGTCTTTTCCCCCACATTAAAACTTTCTAGTTTTCTTTAAAATCTATAAAGATAACCTGCTTATTTAAATCACTTTTGGATGGCCACTTATAAAAACAGAGGGAGGCATAATTTTAGAATTTCCTTTGTAACTTCTATAGTAAAAAAAAAAAAAATGCTTTTCAAATTGTGATGGCATTAAAATTCCATTTTAGAAATCTAGATTTTAAAATTTTAAGAAATATGTCAATTACATAGGGGTGGGGTATTTTAATGAATTAATCTAGTGATTTGTACAGGTCTATAAAGAACTTTCTTCAGATTGGGTGATACTGCCTCATACTCATTTCAGTACTTTTAACAAATAATCCATTTAGATATAATCCCAGACAAACCCCAAATTATTCTAAATTCTCTTCCACAGCAAGGGATCCACATATATCATTTTATAGACTGACAATTTAGTAAAGAGATACTAACCTAAAATAATAAAATTTATATAACTAATGGTGACTAATGCCAAACATAATAGATCTGATTTTCACAATTTGGAAGTAATTTTCATGCAAAATTTTAGAGTTTTGATCCTTAATTATATTTTTATATTTTTAAGTAATCAAGACAAATAGTAGAAAAGGCATTTTATTTATATGGAAAAAGCTACAGTAAGATCTGTAAAAGGTGTCAATATAATATTGCCTATACTGGAAAAAATTCAAATGTAAATAGCAACAAATAAAAGTTACACATCTTCCTACTTAGCAGTGCAATTAATTCACATTGCAATAAAGTTAAGTCAAGTATAACAAAATCAAAACAAGTGTTTCTCCATAATCAGTATGCTGATTATTACAGTGTAAAGATCATTTCAGATTTAAGAAATCTGCAATCAATCTACAGAATATCCTAAGACAAGGGAGACACAGTTAATTCACTTAATTATCAGCCGCTGGGGTTTTTCAATACTGTTCACAGGGGAAAAGTAATGAGTTGACATACATGTAAATAGAATATATTTAGTCTATACAGTAAAAAAATACAAATTATAAAGTGAGCTAACAAAGAATGAAATCTGAATACAGATTTATAAAACTGACATCTTAGACAACACATACAGTATTTCTCATGTAAAAACATCTAGTTTCAGCAAAAAATAATTTGGTTGCTTTTCAGCTGCATTGTAGATCTTGTAAGCTGAAGATGCAGATGTCCAAGTATTTTAAAAACCATAATAAATGTCTTTCTCAATGCATACAAAATGATAAATGCTCTCATCACAGTCTTAAGGGTATTTTTGGAAGTTTGTTTTGTCTTGCTTCAGAAACACATTTAAAATGGGTAAAAATCAAATGGTTTCATGGTACAATGAAACAGTAAACAGTGCTCAATTTACTGCTAATGTTGAAAAAAATCTAGATTTTACAGTACTCTGGTATATATGAAAATGTTTTTCATTTTACATTGCATATTTCTGAGTCCATTCTCTTGCATGTCTGTTGTATCTGTAGATATACAAAAAGAATATAATAAAAATATACAAAATTAATATTTTAGAAGCATCTGTCTATATAAAACTATATATTCTTTTTATATTTAATTGCAATAATCACACATATATCAATTATTGGGTCAATGGGACTTAGGTTCATGCAGAAATAACAATTTTTCAACAGGAAAAACAATTTTTCAACTAATGGATTTCTCTGCAATCTGTATGAAAATGTATCCAAATATACAAAAAACAAAATGCAGAAACCAACTTCTAATAGAAATGTACAAAGCCAACCCTGAAGAAGCATTATCTACAAATTGCAAATAAACCTGCAGTACTGGCAAGATGAAGCAACTTGAGAATTAGGTCAGTGGGCACAGAATTAGTATGGGCCGAGAGAGAAATCTTCCTGGGAGAAGATAGGCAATACAATATTTAATACTTTCCAATGATTAAATTCTTTCATTTTTAATTTACCACCTAGAATATATATATTTATTTTTCAAATACAGACTATATACTATTGAACAGGAAGTGGGAAGAAACAAGATTTATTGTAAAAGGACAAATTGAGTTCTAAAAGAAAGGTTTACTTCATTGGAAAAAGATAAAACAATATATGCATAACAAGCTGTACTTAAAATACATTTATGATATTCATGTTTTAGCATACTATATAGGAATGTATCCATACAGAAACTAAGATAAGTAAACACTTACTTTTCTTTGTCTGATTTATAGATTTGTGCAATATCTGGTACTAAGGGGTCATCCGGATTAGGATCACAAAGTAGTGAACATATGGACAATAAAACTAGGTTTAAAAAAGAACATCATATTAGACAATAATCCTTCTAGTTCATATAAATTACACATGTGAAAATAATTTTAGTGAATACAGATACTAAATTTGTTAGAAAAACAAAAGTAAATGAACATATCAAATTACATTTTATTCTATTCTGGTTGACAGCAAATTGATCTTTAATTTTTAAAGTTATAAAATTACCCCAGGATGGATAAAACATAAAATTATTTTAGCTTTTGAGGTTTTAAATTCTATTTGAGTTTCTATTTATTTAAAAAAGTGACCCTCCAAAGTAGCTATTAACAACCTTTAAACTTGAGAGTTCTCTACAGAACAATCAAATTACACTTAACAGTCCATATACCATTTGGATACTGTGCTCAGACATTCTTTTACTTTGGCTTAGAGCTACAGTCTGTCTACAAAGAAGAAAAATTTGTAAAAATTTTTTCAATGAATACTTCATGTACTTTATTCATGTTGCATGCATTTAAAAATAATGTGAACAGCTATCTTCATATAACTTGCATATTTTAAAATAGAAAGGAAAATTGAAAAAGTAGTTGTTACTCCAGTATGTCAAAATCCTAATGCAAATAGCTACACTAAAAAAAAAAAAAATAAAGCACAATCTAAGATCTAAGTATCTGAAATAAGAGGGAACAAGGACTGTGGTTCCTCATTTGTCTGCTTCAATTGCATGCCACCACTTCTGAGGAGTTTCAGGGAACCTCTGGACCAACCTCCCATTTCCACTTGCCCCCACCTCACTGTGTTTCCTATTTTCCTACTCTTTCAAGTCCAAAGGTGGATTTATAGAGCAGAGTTAACTCTTACATGACAGGTAAATGGGGGGTATTATGAACTAAAGAAAAAAATTAGTATCTTATGCATCTTTCTTATCTTCTATCTGCCCAATGAAACTTCAAGCCCTTGTATATTAAACCAACAGGGTAGATTTTCCGGGCTAACTTACAGCCCCAGAATGCTTCCAAACTAACCTCATGATAAAAAGCAAAAGAAGTCATTTAAAATATGGAAAAGCTCCAGGCATGGTGGCATGCACCTATAATGCCTGCTACTTGGGAGGCTGAGGCAGAAGGATCATTGACCTTAGGAATTCGAGACCATCCTGGGCAACACAGCAACCCCATTTCAAAAATAAAAAAAAAATTAAAAATGAGCTGGGCAAGGTGACTCACACCTATAATCCCAGCACTTTGGGAGACCAAGGCAGGAGGATCACTTGAGGCCAGGAGTTTGAGACCAGCCTGGTCAACACAGCAAGACTCTGTCTATATTTAATTAAAAGAAAAAATTTAAGATAAAAAAATNAAAAAAAAAAAAAAAAAAAAAAAAAAAAAAAAAAAAAAAAAAAAAAAAAAAAAAAAAAAAAAAAAAAAAAAAAAAAAAAAAAAAAAAAAAAAGCAAGATGCAATCTGTCTTATAAAAAATAAGCAAGAAGGAAGTTCCTCCTCTGCCCACTCCTACTGCCAGGAGCCATTTTCCTGAATTTTACTATCATGCACACAAACCATGTCTATCCTTTAAGGTAAGGAAAAGGGTAACAGTTAACATTCATGTAAGTGCCATTATGTGCTAGGAACATAGCAACCCTATATGGTAATACTATAAGAATCCCATTTTATTTATAAGGAAACTGAGGCTGTTTCATTTCTCAAAGGATGGTTTCTGGAATCTAACACTTCTGATTCTTTATAAAAAGCTACCAATGTTAGAAGATAAATACTCAGCATCTGGCTGTCTGCCATTTCTTTTCTATGTATAAGGACTTAGCTGTTTATGCCAAATGAGATTCATTTTGTGACATCATTCCAGGAAAGAGCATATGAACTTGAATTACCCTTCAACACAGAATCTTTCATATATCTAATGCATGACAATCACACTGTGTGAAAGATTCTTAAAAGAATATGAGAATCTATATGAATATTATAGATGAGCATCTTAGGTCAGAAAAACTACCATTCATAAATAATTGAACTGAAAGAGCTATTATTTATCTAATACTTGAAAAAGCTACGGCTGTGGACTCTGCTTCCTATAAACCTTATTACTTTTAAAAACATGTTGTATATTCAAGCAGCAATTATTAAAAATAAAAAATGAGAACAGATTTCTTCCATAAATCCCTTCAAGAGAAACATTTTCTTCAATTTTATAAAAACAGAAAACTTGATGGTTACTTCAGTGCAGCTGCTTCTAACTTAAACAATATTTTCCAACTGTCAGGTTCTCTTCTTTTAGAGAAACAAGACATAAATTAAGAGTGCTAGTACAGTAAGTAGTATTGGCTAATGAAATAAAATGGCTTCAAATGGCCTATGTATACATCCGATAAAGTTGAGAATCAGCACAGATCATGTGTCAGTCACTATAATGATGCTATTGATTATTCAAAGTTTAAACTAACATGCTGTAGGTACTGCATTATCCTACAGTGTGAAACGTCTAGCATTTTGAATCATTTATCAATCAAATCTGATATTTTTTTGGTCAATGAAGTAAAACAGCTGTAAAGCTTTATAACTGTCAACACTTCCATTTAATAAATGGGACAGCTAGTCCCCAAATCTTCCTTTTACTATCTCTTATTATCCCTCTCTTTTTTTGTAGAGACAGGGTCTTGCTATGTTGCCCAGGCTGGTCTTGACCTCTTGGGCTCAAGCAATTCTTCCACCTCAGTCTTCCAAAGTGTCAGAATAACAGTCATGAGTCACAGGGCCTGGGTAGTTTCTCTTTTTTAAAAGACAACATCCAAGCTAAAAGTATTAAATGTCAATAGGTTTATTCCCAAATTTCTAGCTCTAATATTTTAAGTTTTTTCTCATTTCATCATTTAGATTTCTCTATCCACACTCCCTGCAACCAAAGGTAACTGCCAAAAGCCAGAATAACATAAAAGCAAAGAGAGCAAAACAAAATCAAAACAGAAGAAAGCACAGTTGATTGTTTTCTTAAAACTTTACTCAATAGGTAATTCTGCTGTATTTTTACTGTTTCACTGTTATCAACTGTTTTAAATCTGATCAATGAAGTTACCTTTTGATACAGTCAGAGCTGGTGACCACTGTGACCTCAGAATATCGAGGCAAATACTTCCATTACTGTTTATGTTTGGATGGTAAATTTTTGTTGTGAAAGCAATCTAAACATAAAACAAAACAACAAAATGTAACCTGAGCATCAACTATGAATAAAACAGAACCAATTTGCTCGGATAAAATATTCTCAACTTTACATAGCCTTAGAGGAAAAAAGTCTTCAGCACAAGTAAAAGAATCATCTACTTTGTGTTATACACAGTTCTAGCTAGTGAGAATGTGAATACAAGTAAGTCAGCTTCCTTCCTTCCCCCTCCAAGGAACTGAAAAGTATTTTGGAGAGTGTAATAAATAACTCTGTGGTAGCTGCTGTGACTGGGTGAGTAGCATCTAAAGTAATTAACCATGGCTTTCATCAAATGTAGAAGTAATCCTGTTCTTAATTTGATTATTGGTGATACCTGGAAGTGATAGTTGGATCTAAAAACAGGGTGCTGATGCTATTTCAGGGCAAAGTTGAGGGGTCTCAGCTAAGAAATCCATCAAGAATCCTCATCTTCCACAAGAGTTGTCATATCATTTCATAAATACAATGTTAATCTGTTGTTTTTAACTATTTAAAATAATTATTTCCTGAGTGACAGAATCTGCTCATTTTTTCCCCTCCCTGATATCCCCGTCATTTGTTTCCTCTTTAGAGCAAATCTAAACTTAATATGAACATGTTTTTCTGTCTCCTACCATATTAAATAAAGGGGCTGTTTCATATTTACTTTTGGATTCCCCAGTGTAGAAGAACATGGTAGGTACTCAATAAATGTTTATTGAATACTTAAAAAAACAAATGGAGAAAGAAGGATCAAGGATTATCTTAGGAAAGACAATCCCATGAACAAAAAATCTGACTCTTAATCATAAAAATGCCCTAAACTACACATATCCAATAAGAAGGGAAAGAAAAGGAATCTAATTTATAGCATGACAGATACTGATTTTTGTTTAGAGACTCAATACAATATTTTATATAAGAAAACAGATTTTAGATTCAGTCGTTTTTACAAAACAGTTTGAAAATGCTAACCTCCCACAGTCTTTGACATCATGAAATGAGTGCTAGATAAAAAGTAAAATCCCTTACATGAGAGTCACATCAATCATAAAAATAAAAATACCTTTGGTGGTTTAAAAGGATAATCTGTTGGAAAATGTACAGTGAGAAAGAAGACTCCACCTTGATATGCGCTATCAGGCTGAAATTACAAAAGATTTACATTAGCATTTGATTATTATATTTGTAACAAAATTATTTCCCCCAAATATTATCAGTTTGAAAAAAATACCATCATATTTAAAATAATTACATTAAATATTACCAGTTCGAAAAAATGCAACCATTCTGCCATAAGTTCAAATCTTTACCTTGAGAACAGGTTTCTCTTTGCAGGCACGAAGGAGGATTTTCCAACAATTATGCCGACATCATAAAGTTTAAAACAAAACTAAAATAGGACACACACAGTAGTGTGACTTGTCCAAACAAATCTGGTTATGAGTACAAATTTTTAAAGATCAGTATACACACAAGACTGCTGTGAGAAAAGATCATTTTCTGCAGCCATAATGAGTATTTTTTTTCAAAAGCGTTGGGGTTAGTGAAACTTAAGTTCTGATGGTCACTTAAAAGCCAAGAACGGAGACGAACTGAAGAGGCTGTCAGTGAAAGAAAATGCTAAGGACCCTGTTACACAATTTATCTGCCAAATCTTCAATTAATAATTATTTATAAAATAATGCAGAGAATCCAAAAATGTCCAAAACAAAATTACACATTCATACCACTATCAAATTGGCAATCAACTTTACTGGAGAAATTTAAATTTGACCATGTTTCTTTATGGCCATTAGAAAATATAACATTACAAGCAAAACTATAAATAAAAAAGAAAAATAATAGAAAATATACCTACAATTCTATTTTCTTTCATATTTAATTAAATATATGATGTTATATTAGCATTTTGGTAACAACAGCAAAACAGGACTCTCATTACTTCCTCCTTAAGTTTCTACATATATACTAGAGGATTATACTGTATAATAATTCTTACTATATATATTGTTAAATTCTAGTTTACCAACAATTGTTAAGAAATACAGAAAATGAAGGTAAATTGCAATGACAGATATGGTCTGCTGAGATATTCAAATGATAATACAGAGTACTGTAAATATTTATATTATTAAAGGAAGGGTGCTATGAAGAATGCAATCATAACCATTTGTTACATGTGATTCACCTAAAACATATTTGTGAAAGGCCATAATTCAAAAGGTAAGGATGGGCCTTTAAATGAGAGTATTTTTGAAGGTTCTTAGTAACTAATTAAAAACAAACAAATAACTAGATTCTTATTGAAAGTTGTTACATAAATAAATATGTTGTATTTTACCTTTAAAAAAAAAAAAAACGTAAAACTATTTAGTAATTTGAGACAACTGCCCAGAGTCCTGCTTTGAAATTCAGTAGTTTTAGTGTTTTTTAAAGTTAAACACAAGGCCGTATGATTAAAAACTCTGTAACTCACTAGATAAAGCGCTTTCAGGGAAGGGAGGAGAGAATGATGCTCATGGAAACATGTTACTAATGTACTCTCACCCAGAAAGTAGATTTGAGCTGTCAGTGCTCATTCTTATGCAATCAGATTTTTGCTCACAGAAAGAAAGAGCCTGTTTCAAGTCTTGTAACTGCCTCTCAAGTATTGAAAGAAATAATTTTAACAAAGGTAATAGGTATTGAGAGTAGCCAACTATAAAACAGTAGACAATTTTGTGTTTAGGACAATCCAACAAAAGTAAAAGCAGCAAATTTATAAGGTGGCAAAGATAAACCCATTGTAATATTTTATTGATTCTCTTTCACAAAAAAAGAACAGTGATGAAATATACGGCAAATTGGCACTTGTTTCTTGTAGGAATTCCATTACTGGCTTCATTAGACTAATTTCTAACCTGCCAAAACTGTGGATGTGAGAATGATTATGCTTAATCACAACTGATTCTCTGTGACAAAAAAAAAAAAAAAAAGGTAAACCACAGAGCTTGGTTGCAAGCTGTGGCAATCCACTATGTCCAGTGATCTGGGATTCAGCAAAGGAAAACATAATAGTGATCCCAGCAAATATTTGCCAGCAATGCTCTAGAGAATCACTGTAAATCCTTAATAATATTTTGCTTCCTAGGTGATTCAGAGTACAAGAATATTCAACCTTCGTCACAAACATCTGATCAAAGGTGAAATGGCAAGAATGAAGTATGGCTGAGGGGGTTAATTTCATATATATGAATCATACTTACAGGCCCCATAATAGTGGCTTGCCAGTGGAACACTGAAACAAACAAAGGAGTTTTGGAGTCATTAACAAATGTTCAAACCTACATTTTTAATGGTAGCAAAATCCCAGAAATAGAGCAAAGCTTACAGTCATCTCCCACAGGTCCTGCTGAACAGTGAGCAGGTGGATCACGCTGTAGATCACTTAATTCCTGAAGGAAAGCAAAAACATGTAAGGTTAATTCATTCTTTTCCCAATGAAACAAAGGCAATAATCCATTAAGATGCACACTATTAGCTTAGCTTTAAAAACATTTAAAGCATTTATATTCAAAATATAAAAACATAAAATGTACTCTGTCATTGACTGGTAGAAGGAAGAAGTTACTCAATTCCTCCGTGAGACAGCTCCAAATCTTGAAAAGATTAAATGGAATAAAACACTATTTTTCTTTAACATCCCTAAGACAAAAAATATTGAGTATCTTCTGTATGCAAGGTAATTTATGTAAGTGCTAGGTTGATAATACATATCAAAAAACAGGTCCTACTTCAACAGGTTACAATCTAATGAGGGAGAGTAAAGGCTCAGAAAGAATAAATGAAAGCCTTTTTTTTTTAGACAGGATCTCACTTTGTCACCAAGGATGGAGTGCAGTGGCCCAAGAGCTCACTGCAGCCTCAATCTCCTGGGCCCAAGGGATCCTCCCACCTTGGCCCCCCAACCCTGGCCCAAGTAGCTGGTACTATAGGAATGTGTCAGCACGCTCAGCTAATTTCATTTGTAGAGATGGGGTCCTGCCATGGTGACCAGGTTGGTCTCCCACTCCTGGGCTCAAGTGATCCACCTCCCTTGCCCTCCCAAGTGTGGAATTACAGGTATGAGCCACTGCACCTAGCTCATTTATGGACCACTTGAAATGGGAAAGAAACGAGCAGCAGTGAGGCCATGTTTTAAAACCAAGAACATTGATTCATATGCTCTTTCCTGCCCTCAAGGCACCAAAGATCACAGAAAGGACTCAGCTTTAGAGTTTATCCCCCCGGGTTGAAATTCCAGTTCTTTTTATGTTTTTTAATTTTAATTTTGATTTTTCTTCTTTTTCGGGTTTTTTTTTGTTGTTTTTTTTTTTTTGGTCTAACAGAAGGAATAATTTCAGTTCTAACAGATCTCACTCTATGACCTTGGGAAGTTACTTCACTTCTTTACCCACAGTTTGAAAGAAACTGATTATCCCAAATAAGAAAGGTACACATTCAATATAAAAGACTGTAACTGAAGAATGTAATTTAGTTTGGAAGATCAATAATCATCTCTGAGGAAGTGACACTTAGGCTGAAATCTAAGTGATGAGTAGGAGTTACTTTTGCAGGAAAAGAGTGACACTGGGAGGCAAAGTGGCATAAGATGACACTGGAAAAATAGGCTGAAGCCAGGCAGGAAACAGAGGACCATACAGACCACATTAAGGATGTGGGCTTTTATAACAAATGCATTGGATCGGGGGTGAGGGAGGTCTTAAGAAGTGGGGCATGCTCTGATTTAATGGATGGTTGTGACTGGATTAGAAATGGGAAAGAGGAGGAGCTACAAGATTAGTGACTACATAGGCAAGAAAAATGGGGGCTTAGATTGGAGAAGTAGCAACAAGATAGAAGTGGTAGATCTAAGATACTCTGAAGGGCCTACCTATGAAAGGATTTGATGAATTACATGTGCAGAGTAGGGAGAGAAGGCACATATATGTACGATGAAGATTAGGGACGGCTAACATTTATTCAATGTCTTAGTCATTTTAACAGTCCTCAGAGATAGCTGTTATTATGTTCCCCATTTGACAAGTGAAGAGTTAAGGTGACATACCTCACTGCATGCTTGAGTAACTACTATAGGGTGGAACTGGGATTCAAACAAATGGGGATGCCATTCACCAAGATGGCGAATACTAGAAGACAAATTGATTTGGAGAAGTAGATGTGTTGAATCTGTAATCCCTGTGTTATGAAGAAAAAATGTGGTTCAACATACAGGGGTGGACTTTAAGAGAGGCTAGAAATTGGAAAATCATTGCATATATCTGATATTTAAAACCATGAGAATGATGTAAACATTTGTGTGGGAATACATATAAATAAATACTGTACTTAAATCTGTCATCAACTGTAAATCACATCCTTAAGTACCAATAATTAAGGAAATATGCTGCCAATTTATTTCAAAACACCATCAATTATAAGATGCATCCACACTTTAGAAATGTTAAAATGTGAAAGATGTGTACCTTAGAATCACTGCAATAGGGTAATTACGGCAATGAGTTCAGTGCTCTAATAGAGACAAACAAGGAGGGCATGGCAGAGAAAGGCTTTCCTAAGAAAGTGATACATGAGCTAAGTAACTGAGCCAAGTACAGACTCAGGTCTTCTTCCAAGCTCAATATTCTTTTCCAGTATACCTTGGTACTTTAGTTTTTGTTTTGCTGCTTTTTTTTTTTTTTTTTTTTTTTTTTTTAAATAGCCGGTGCAGTGTTTTTTTCCTAATAAGAATTAACTAACAGGGTTAGCTACTTCTTCAGTCCATGTTACAGTTAAGCAATAAGGGACCGGGCAGGCTGGCTCATGCTTGTAATTCTAGCTACTTGGGAGGCTAAGGCAAGAGGATTGCTTGAACCCAGGAGTTCGAGGCTACAGTGAACTATGATCGGGCCTCTGCACTCCAGACTGGGTGACAGAGAAGACC